ATATGGAGTCCTACAGGAGTAGGCTAGTCCCTGACTGGTTCTCTTATCAAAGAGAAGAGACACAGACGGACGGGTCAAGGTCAAAATGAAGCAATTGCAAGACAAGGAACACCAAGGATGGCTGGCCATCACCAGAAGCTGGAATCAGAACCAGATTCTCCCACAGAGACTCTGAAGGAATGGACATGGCTGACACCCTGGTCTGGAGCCCACGAACTTCAGTTCTGACCAGTCACCCAGAGCATGGTGCTTGGTTACATTAACCCCCAGAGCAATCCAGCACAGTGATGGTAGGTGTCCCTGAAGTCATCCAGTCTGACAGCTGCTCCTGTCCCAGAAGTGATGCGAACTACATCTGCCCCCTCCCCGGCTGAGAGCAGCAGCCATCAACCCCTCTGTCACCAGGAAAAGGAGCAGGTTCCCAACAGCTAGGACGCATTTCACAAGAACACAGAGCCATGTGAGCTTGCCGATGTGAGAGATCAGCCTTGCAGAGTGGGGGCTTGCCTCCAGAGAGCCTGGGCCTCTCTCTCAGCTTTCCCCACTGCACTTTGTGCAGTGAGGGTGAGGATGCGCGGGTGTCCACTTGGCACGTCTCTATACCTCAGAGGCCAAGCAGCGTCCCATTCGACCTCTGCCCACTCCATGCCAGGAGTCCCCTCCCCATAATGGCTCCTCAGACCTCATACAGCTTTCTAGGTGAGGTCCCCCCACATACCAGCAGAGGACACTGGTTTAGAGACATTTAGTTATCATATGACACACTCGCAACATGTTCAATCACAGCCCATGCAGGGACCATGCAGGACCGGACAGCGTCTCCTGACATGCATTCGGTTACCATGAGTCTGGGTCTTCTGGCCAGAATCTGACAACAGATTCTCGTTGTGAGAAACCTCATCTTAGCCCCATACCGAAGGTCATGTTCTAGGTGCCAGTCTCCACACACATAGGTGCCACAGTCACTTCTGACCTCAGTGTCCACCTGGAGCTGAGACATGGAGTTGTAGAAATGTCATCAGACTTGGCAGAGGGAAAAGGCTGCCCATGGTCAGCTGGGTGGACAGAGGGGACACGGAAGTCATAGAACCTGGCCCTGTCTTGACAAAGTGAGGGGGAGTCTAGTGAGGTCCAGGCTTGTGGAAGGGGAAAGGAAAATACAGGTCAGCCACTTCTAGTGGTGAATGTGAATGTTCCCGTGACTCTAGAAAGCTTGAGGTGTTGTGGCAAGGGGCTGACCTTCTTCCCCATGGACAGGTGCTTGCATGCGCTGTGAACCCCCTTTATTCCCTTCCCTGCTGTCAGGAAAGGAACAGCCCGCAGCTCTCACACCGGATGACACCCACCTAGCTTCACAGCCAAGGTACCAGTTGTTCCTCCTATTTTTAGCAAAACTCTAACCTCCACGTGCCCCAGAAAAGACCTCTTTAATGTAATTCTCAAGATTTCGTACCGCCGCGCCCACAAGGACTGGTCCACCTACTCACGCCCCCTTCTATCCCTGTCCCACCCCTCCCACTTCACAGCCTTCACACCCCGCCCCTCTGTTCCCTTAAGCCCCGCCTCTGCTCTCCCCGCCCACTTCATTCGCTTTCCTTGCTCCGCCCTTTTCACGCGTTACCCCGCCCCCTCCGCGTGTTCACGCCTCTCGGCCCCGCCTAGGCATTGTCACACCCACGTGGGCAGGGCTGGACCACAAAGACTTGGACTGAGGGGTCTGTGCATTTCTGGACGCTGTTTACCTGGCTGGGTGAGGGTGGAGCAGGACTCGACGGCGGCGAGAGTCCTTGAGTGGTCGCCCTGCGGTCCATATGGGACTCATGCCACTCCAGAGCCCTCAGCTTCACCAGAGACTCTTCTGGCTGGGGGCGGGGAGGAGAGGGGGGAGACGATCACTCCTGGAAGAGGCCTGTGTCCTCACAGTCCGAGTCTCCAGTGCACCTGCTACAGTGTTGAGACTTGGTTTGCAAACCAGGTTTCCGGTGGCTTGGGGACCCGCGGGTTCTGGAATCCGGACCTCACTGCTACTCAGTAGCCTGACCTGGGGCTTGTAACCGCCCCTTTTGGTGTGAGTGACGTTGATTAGCGCAGTTCAGTTGATTCCGGTTCCGACTCATAGCAACTCTAGGGTTTCCAAGGAGCGGCTGGTGGGTTTGGACCTATGACTGTGGTTGACACCGACTTTCTGATCCAGTGCTCATCTTACAGCGCCACACCAGGACTCCCTGATGTGAGTAAGATGTAAGATGTCAGAACCACAGACCTAAACGAAGGCATGAGCCACACTGTCTTTGACAGACTTCTCAATTCACTTGCCTTTGCTGTGGTTGTTATGTGCCATGGAGTCGGTTCCAACGCCTAGCGACGCTGTATAGGGTTTTCGAGGGACCACTGGTGGATTTGAACCGCCGACCTTGTGGTGCAGTGCTTTATCCTACAGCGCCACATATTTTAAATGTCTGAGAATCCTCCAAAATGCTAAGTTTCCTGACTGCCATGTCTCTCATCTGCTCTCTTCTGCTTTTTAAAATTGTGAAATGTAGTGTACGTGGTTTACATGAAAATGTGCATAAGTACACACACACAGAGGTACCATTTAATAAATAATAGCACTATGAACACTTAACTCCCTGCCCTGGTCAGGAAATGCAACATGGTTGTACACCAGAAACCTCCCCTGTGCCACTCCTTCCCACTGGCCACAACCACTTTGTAGACTGGGCTTCCCCTTCCCCCAAAGCAAACAAGGGGCAAGTGCTTACATGGGAGTCCTGTGCTTGGGGGATTAAGGCAGGAAGCTCTCAATGGGTGTGTGGATGACTGGGATTCATGCCCTTGGAGACACACGGGACCACCTCAAAGATAGCTGCCCTTAAGGGTGTTCACGCCCAGCATTTCCCACCGGTACTGTGGGCCTAGCAACAATGGATGGAGAAAATCTTGGCAGAGTTGCTGGGTTGGACTTTGGAAAACTGAGACCTGAGGCCTGTAGGTACCAACAGCTTCAACTGCAACCATTGCTCCAACCACAGCAGACCCTGGAGATCTTTGGGGTTCAGGTCCACAACATTGAAATAAAGTCAGTATCTCAACAAAGTGAGTCCCATGGATTCTTTTTATTTCCTAGTGCATATTAAAAGTTGTTTACACTATATTGTAGCCTAGTAAGTACACAATATGGCCTTATGAGGAAATCTGAAATATTGTGAGAATTTCCAAAATGTGACCCTGAGACATGACGTGAGCACGTGCTGTTAGAAACACAGCACTGTAGGTTTGCTCCATGCAGGATTTCCACAGACCTTCCATTTATGAAAAACACAGTATCTTCAGTGCACAATCCTAGTAAATCAAATTGCAATAAAATGAGGTGTTATAAAAGACCACCGACTTGTTTTGTTCAATTATTTTACCATCTATTGGGGATCGAGGAGGCCTGGTGGCATGGTGCTTATAGCGCTTGGTTGCTAACCATAAGGTTGCCTATTTGAACCCATCAGCAAAAAGCTGAGACTTGCTGCTCTCACAAACATTTTACAGCTCCAGAAACCCTATCCAGGATCTCAATGAGTTGGAAATGACAAGGGGGCACTTAACAGCAACATTATGGATTGAGGAGCTCTGGTGGCATCCTGGTGAAAGAACTTGGCAGTTTCAACCCACCAGGCTTCTACTTCCAAAAAGATTACAGCTGTGGAAACTCTTTGGGACAGTTCTACTTTGTCCTTTTGGGTCGCTATGTGTCGGGATCATCTAGACAGCAGTAGTTGGTCTGTGGGTTAATGTTCACTGTCTCCTGGATTAGTTTTCTGGGGCTGCTGTGACAAACTACTACACACTGGGTGGGCAAAAGAACAGAAATGGATTCGCTCGGATCTGGAAGCCAGAGGCTGGTTCAGGGTTTGGTATTCTCAAGCTTGTGGCAGCATCCCTCAATCTTTGCTTCCATTTTCAGTCATCGCCTCTGTGTCTTTAAGGTTTACAGAGCAGATCAGTTTCCCCTTTATTAATTCATACATGTGTCATTGATTGTAATTTCATGTCACTGATTAGAATCTCCACACTGTAACATCACTCATCCCTCTTCCTCCCTTGTGTTTCGTCTCATGTGTCATTACCTCTTCTGCCTCTTATAAGGCTATGTATCATTGGATTTAGCACCCCATCCAGGATGATCCCTGATTTCTTTGCAGCTGCAAAGATCTTTTTTCCAAGTACGGACCATTCACTGCTGCACTCACCCCGTTTCAACACATTCTTATTGAAAGCCCAAGACAGACAGCAAGAGATGCCACCCTCAAAGAACTGACGTGTAGTCAGGACGAGCTAGTGGGAGGATTAAGTTAAAAGAAGTAAGGCTGCCATTCCTAAAAGGACGAAGGCCTATTGCTGCTGTCAGGGAAGCCTCGGGGGAGGGACGGGGGCGTGGGGGGGAGTGGTGGTGCGACAAGAGTTGCGCGCGCAGATGCAAGGAGCTCATCGCCTGGACAAGTAGGAGGGAGGAACGGTCCAGGAAGAGAGGGCGGGGTCCCGGCCGTCCGACGGGAGCGCGCTCTTCGAGGGCGGGGCGAGGTGTCCGGGGGCGGTGCCTAGGCCCCCGGCGCTCTCAGCGGACCGGAACGTGGACGGGGTGGTGTGTCCAGGGGGCGGGGCCTGTGGGGAGTCAGCTCCCTTGACAACGGCAGCGTAGGCCGCTCTGCCGCTCCCTGCGCCAAACACTGCGCTAATAAGTGACGATGGAAGGCACAATGCTGCAGCGCAAGACTAAGCGCCCGCAGCTCGATTATTTCACCTCAAACTCCTTGCTAAGCCTTACGGCTCAGTCCCGCCCCCACACAACTCTTATCCAATCTCTGGGCGTCCCCTCGACCCGATCCCGCCCTCTCACGACGTCTCCCTTCCCTCGCCCAATCCCGATGCTCCTGTCGCGCAGGCCCGTCTCGTCGCGTCGCCGGCGTCTCCATCCTCACTAGTGGCGCGCAGCAGCGGTTGCTGGAAATATGGAGGCGCTGTTGAGGCGCGAACTGGGCTGCAGCTCTGTCAAGGCCACCGGCCACTCTGGGGGCGGGTGCATTAGCCAGGGCCAGAGTTACGACACCGACAAAGGACGGGTGTTTGTGAAAGTGAACCCCAAGGCGGAGGTCAGGCGCAGCGTGGGGCGGGAGGCGGGGTCTGGCTCCGGGGTGCTGCGGGGGTCCTGGGGGCCTGGTGGATTCGGGGTCGGCTCCGGGGTCGGGCGTGCGGGTCGCCGTGGGGAGCGAACCACCCACTCGGAGGACGGGGTGGCACCGTCACGCAGTTGCAGAAGCATGTCCTCTCCTCAGACCTGGCTCCGCGCGAGCCTTTTGCTCAGAAGCCCGCAGCCATTGTCATCTCAGAGATGAGCCGTCACGTCGTGGGAGAACGTCTCCGGGGTTACAGTCGCAGTGTCGTTCCTTCTGTGGGGCTTTGGGGAACCTTTGCCTTGGAAGCCAGGTGGCTCCCCATGCCTTACCCTGGGCTGCTGCAATGGGCACGATTGTGAGGCTGGCCCAGGCGCGGGGTCCCTATAAGTGGGAGCCCACCCCAGATGGGTGTCCTTCTCCTCACCCCCCCGTGGATCTCTCTGCCTTCACGGTCATGGTCGTCTCCTAACGAAGGACCGCTTCCGCGCTGCTCCCAGTCGGGGTTCGGCAGCCGATGTTTCCCCGGTCCTTGTGGACTGCTGTCTAGTCCGCTCCCACTCACAGCGACCCTGGAGAGTTTCCGAGGAGCGCCTGGTGGCCTTGAACCGCCCACATCCTAAAACCACCCCAGACCCCTAGCAAGGCTGTATGGCGTTTCCGAGGAGGGGCTGGTGGGTGTGTACCCCTGCAGCTAGCAGCCCAGTGACTATCCTAGGCTCACACACCGGGACCCCTCCGAGCCCTGGTGGTGCTCTGTGTTAAGTGTTGGGTTGCTAACCTCAAAGTTAGCGGTTCAAACTCACCAGCCACTGTAAGGGAGGCGAGGCTGTCGACATGAAGATTTACAGCCTCAGAAAGCCGAGGGAACAGTTCTGCTGTGTCCTCTAGGGGTCGCTATGATTTGGACGTCAACTTGAGGGTTAGTGGATGTGGGTTTAGTCACTGTTTCCTTGGTAGAGCCCATTTTCTTTAGCGTAGTGGTTACGAATCGGGCTGTGAACCTCAAGGTCAGCAGTTCAAAACTACCAGCGGTTCTGCGGGAGAAAGATGAGGCTTTCTGCTCCCGTAAAGATTTACAGCCTTGGAAACCCTGTACAGGGTCGCTATGAGTCGGAACCGACTGGATGGCACTTAACAACAACCATCTTCCTCACACGCTCCTTTGGTACACAGTTCCCGACATGCCATGGCGTTTTCTAATTTGCTTTGGAGTATACAATGATAGAAAAGTTTGCTGATTATGTTGAAAATAGGACTACTTTTGTACTGTGCCTCTTCAGATGCAAAACCACCATCCACACAGGGTAGTGAGGTTGCGTTCCTCGTTTTCCGCCTCACCCCTGCGGCAGCAGACCTGGCCCAAGTTGTTTTTCCCTTTTTCTATTGATTCTTGTTATCTGTCCTTTGCACACTTGTGCAATTGCTTTCTGCTCATGCGCCGTCCATTTCTTGTGAGCTCTGCTCCACAGCTGGTCCTTATTTTGCCTGGTTCCTCTCAGGAGTAGGGGCACTTGTGGCTTTACTTAGAGCTGCAGTAGGTGCTGGGTTAGGGCACTTGGCCTTTGGTTGGATCTATGGACACTTCTGCCCCGTGTTTCTTCTTCACACTTCCCTTGTTTGGTTCTCCCCAGCTACTGTTGCAGTGTAGACAGGGCCTCTGTGCTCCCTTACCTACAAAGAGAGTACTTGTGCCTGATCAGCCTCCTGAAGACACAGTTTTGTCCTTTCTCCTCAGCAAGTCCAGTGATAAAGTGTTTTAAATGCCCTGTGTTAGTGTTAACTCATTTAATCATAGCAGCAACCTCATGAAATTGGTACTTTTATTAACTCATTTTACAGATGAGAGAAGTGAGGCACAGCTTAAGTAATTTGCCCAAGGTTAGTAAATATCACAGTTAGGAGACTATTCCCAGCAGCACTTTTGATAAATAGCCCCAAACTGGAAACTCCAGTGCCCACCTACAGTTGAACGGACGGCTGTCTTTGGGAGCATTCGCAGGTCGAACTGTTGTTCACACTCCCTCATGGGCAAGCCTCGAATGGCGATGTCATGGAGGGGGCGGGAGTTCTGAGGAGATAGTTCACTTCCTATCTCGTGATGGCTTTGAAACTTAGCAGTGTGCTGTGTACACATAGATGTGTGCAGGTTAGAGCTGGACTAGTGACTCCAAGTGATTATGGAGAGTGGGCAGGGACCTGGCCATGTGGGGGTGGTGGTGTTGGAAGGATGGTAGAGAAGGGGTCTAGCTTGCGGGGTGCTCCAGGGTGGGGCTGCCTTTTGAGGGATCACTGTGGGTTTGAGGGCAAGAAGGACAAGGCAGGAGTCCATGTAGGGATGGTCACTGTTGGTCATTGGTGGTGATAGAGGAGGTGACAGAACGCAGGTCCACCTAAGTGAACAGTGACCTGGATGCTGTGTGCAGCTTCTGGGGACCCTGCACGGAGGAAGGGGTGCATCGGCATCCTCTGTGGGCAGGGATTGTATGTGAGTGGAGGCTCAGGGTCAGTAGTCCACCAGATAAGCGTTGGCCTTTCCTCTCTGGGAAGCCGCTGGGTTCAGCCCAGTAGTGGACGGTGGACACCATCTGCTCCGTGCGGTGGCATCTTTGTCATTGTCCACTGAGTCCTTGGTCAGGTTCATGACCACATCCCGCCCCCCTTTCCCCACAGGCCCGGCGGATGTTCGAAGGTGAGATGGCGAGTCTTACTGCCATCCTACGCACGGGCACAGTGCGGGTGCCCAAGCCCCTGGCGGTCCTTGACAGCCCCGGTGGTGGGAGCATGCTTGTGATGGAGCACGTGGACATGCGGTACCTGAGCAGGTGTGTCCCGGCCTCCCCTGGCTGCTGAAACTCTGAAGCTTATGCTGGGGGTACCTTGAGGGTGTTCCCAAGAAGGTCTCGGGTTATGCAGAACTGGTGATACGCATTGCAGTGCGTGTGGCCCGAGGTGGGCGGGAGATGCTGATGGGGGCTGGTGGTGAGATTGGGTGGGACGGAATGAGTGAACATGAGCTGCAGAGCCCCCTTCACTGCTCCTCCCTTGGAGGCTCGGACTCCTCTGGAGGCGTGCAGCGGGCACGGGGCTGTGTTGCAGGCTGTCTCTTTAGGGTCTGGTGAGAAACTGGCTGTCTGGTTTCACAGTCACGCTGCGACACTCGGAGCCCAGCTGGCCGATCTGCACCTGGAGAATCAACGGCTCGGGGAAGCACTCCGGAAGGAGAGCAGCACTGTGGGTACGGGATTTGGGATGGTGGGGGGACTCAGCAGGTGCACGGGGCCCTGATGGGGAGGCAGGCGACACCACGTGTACCAGACGAGGAGGAGGGGGCCTGGCGGGCACAGGGGTGCATTGAGCATGGGCACGCAGCAAGTGGGGTCTGTGAGGACCCCACACAGAGGTGCATCCTGGCTCATGTGGGGTGGCTCATGCTGCCGATATGAGGTCAGCACCAACACTGCATGCTGCCCACCTCCAGAGGAGATACTTGTTGGACTCCAAAGTCCTCCCTGTGTGGTAGCTCTAACCACTTGTCCTCTCGAAGGAGTCTAACTTCTGTGCAAAGCCACACCTGGAGCCCTGTGCCTGCTTCTAAGAGGCCATGGTATGGGGCCAGGTGTGCCCTCGGGCTGAGCCAGCGCTGCAGCAGCTCCTGGCTGTTCACGGTGTTCTGTCCTCACCCGCAGTGAGCTGTGGCGTCAGTGTGCAGGCTCTGCGAGGAAAGAGTAGCCAGCCTCAGAAAACAAGATTGTGCTGTGTGCATAGACAGACCCCATCCATCTGTCCCGTCCTGTGAAGATCCATCATGCTGGACAGACAGACTGCCTGTCTGCCTGTTCTGTCCTGCAAGGATCCACTGTGCTGGACAGACAAACCCCATCCATCTGTCCCGTCCTGTGAAGATCCATCATGCTGGACAGACAGACTGCCTGTCTGCCTGTTCTGTCCTACGAGGATCTACTGTGCTGGACAGACAAACCCCATCCATCTGTGTATCCTGCCCTGCCCTGTCCTTCCTGTGCACAGACTTCCAGACCATCGGGATTTGCTTTAGTTTCATGGAGCTACAGAAGATGGGCTGTGTGTCCAGTTTCTCTTCTGTAACTGGCAGGTGCTGAGCCGGCCCCTGAGAACCACCCTTTCCAGATGGGATGGAAGACTCTCCTCTTTAAAAATGTCTGCCTTTCCTTGTCCCCCATAGTCCCCCGGCACCCTCTGGAGCTACTGCCAGGAGTGGTTGGTGTCCTTTGACAATTAAGTCGGCCCATGCAGGGCGATGTTGGCTGGGTGCTTCATATGTGGGGACGAGGAGGCAGGTGGAGAAGGCTCCCCAGTCCAGGCCTCAGGACACAGCTCTGCTAGCATCAGAGACGCGGTGGAGAAGGGGGCCAGGTCAGCTCTGTTCCCCTTTTAATTTCAGGAAGGGGAGGAGGTCAGCCAGAACGTGCCTTTGTGAACCAGTTTGGATTTGATGTGGTGACCTGCTGTGGCTACCTCCCCCAGGTGAGTGACCCCTGCCTCACCCCCACCTCACAGTCTGCTCAGGTGCAATGGGTGAAAGTACCCCCCACTTTTCTGCAGAATTCACTGAAAGTCTCCGTGCCTTTTACTTCTTGGTTTCGTTTTAAGAAGTTGGTTTTCTCACCTTACCTGTTCGCTAAGCACAGAGAACCAGGAGAAAAAACAGTGATTAAAGTTTAGAAAGTAAAAGTGATTCTTTTAAGACATTAAGCACTGAAAGTTTGTTAGTAACAAACTTATAAACCTTGTTTTATGGTTTTAGTTGTGCTGGGACATGGTCTGGTGCCCAGCAAGCCTGGAGCAGACGGAGCAGGGGCTCTGCTCTCAGGAAATGCAGCATGGCCCTGCGGAGGGGGACACATTTATCTGGGAGATACTGGGCTCCTCTGATGTGAAGTGTTATAGGAGAATATGAGAAGTCAGGCGGCGTGGATGCAGCCCTCCAGCACAGCCTTGCCCAACCCTGCCTTCCTGTGTCCTGCCTGCCTTGCTGTTGGCCCTGCGTGGAGATGGCTCCTGTCGGGCCAGGCTCACCCAGACCTTGCTTGTTTCAGAGCTCTTCCTGGGCCACAACTTCACTGAGTTTCTCATGCTTGGTCACACAGCATGGCACATTTCTTTGTCATTCCTTTAGGTTCCGAGCTGTCAGAGAGAGGGTCAGTGCCCTAGTAGGTGTTCAGTGGCATTATGGTGGTTGTGGTGGACTGCCCTTGAACTAGGTCTGATTCATGGTGACCCTGGATAGGGTCCCCAATGCTGTAAATTTTTATGGGAACGGAAAGCCTCATCTTTCTTCTGAGGAGTGGCTGCTGGATTTGAACTAGTGACCTTGCAGTTAGCAGCCCAGTGTTTAACGACTACCCTCCCAGGGCTCCTGAAACTGCTGATAGGTTTATATATGACAGATCCTGAAACTCGATAAAGATATTGAGAGCCGCTGGGGGTGTCCTGTCTGAAATGACTGTCAGCCGGTCAGTCCTGAGGTGTGTCCCTGTCCATGGTGTTGGTAACAGAAGGCTGTGCCATTTCCATGTCATCATCTTTGACCCTGCCCTCCCTGTGACCTCGAGTCCGCTTGCTGACCCTGTACAGGTCAACACCTGGCAGAAGGACTGGGTCACATTCTTCACCCGGCAGCGCATACAGCCCCAGATGGACATGGTGGAGAGGGAGTCTGGGGACCGGGAGGCCCGTGAGCTCTGGGCCGCCCTGCAGGTGAGCACCTCTAGCCCCTGATTTAAGGAGACGGGGTGGGGAGTGGGAGGGAGGGGGGGAATGCAACCAGCTGGCTGCCGGTTGGCCCCTCCACCCTGTGCTCAAGCTGCTGTGCACAGGTGGGGGATCAACATGCTGCGAGCCCCCAGGTGATGCTGCCTTTCCTCCCTCCAGCTGAAGATCCCCGACCTGTTCCGGGATTTGCAGGTGGTCCCTGCCCTGCTCCACGGTGACCTTTGGGGAGGAAACGTGGCTGAGGATGCCTCGGGGCCTGTCATTTTTGACCCAGCTTCATTCTATGGACACTCCGAGTATGAGCTGGCAATCGCTGGCATGTTTGGGGGCTTCCATAGTGCCTTTTACTCCGCTTACCACAGCAAGCTCCCCAAGGCCCCCGGCTTTGAGAAGCGGCTGCAACTCTACCAGCTCTTCCACTACCTGAACCACTGGAACCACTTTGGGTCGGGGTACCGGGGGTCCTCCCTGAATGTCATGAGGAACCTCACCCGGTGAGCACTTGCTCCTTGTGCACAGGCCCTTGGGGGTCTGCAGGGACCCAGGTTTAGGTATCTGGGTTCCGGACAGAGGCTACAGCTGGGACCCGGTTTCTCGCCCTCCTTACTTTAGTAATCTCGACGGGATAGCTATCAATCAACTCAGCAGCTTGTTTTCAGCTTTGTAAAGTACATAGCATTTCAGAAAAAGCTTTTATTGTCCTGAGATTGTACATGTTAAAGTGCGTAGACAGAAGATGCAACCAGGGCTGGAGCCGGGATGTGAAGAACACACCCCGGGGTGTGGTCAGCAACCGTCTCTGCTGCCCTGGGATGCCTCCCTGCATACCCCTTATCCTCATGGCCAGGATGTCCTCTGAGTCCCTCCCTGCCTTCATGTCCAGGGCATCTTTGAGCTGTCCCCAAGGATGCTCCTTGGAGTATCACTTCTAGACACAAAACAGTCTCCTTAATACTTCTCACGTGACCAGTTCCAGAATCGAGCACATTCCGTGGCTGTACCTCTTCTTGGGCCCTACTGTCCTCTGGGCATGTCCTGCCCTGGGGTGTCCTCCTGCAAGTGTTTCCCCACCTGTCTGCATCCTAGAATCTGAGGGTGGTTCCTTTGCAGCATATGAAGTGAGTGTTACACCCATGTTTATTCCTGCCTGCATCATTACCTGACAGATCACCATTTCATGAAACACACTGATGTTGATTAAGTCCTTTGCATAAAATCTGATTAAACTTTTCAGTGGTTTCAATATGTGAGACTATTTTCATCATTAAAATAATCCAAATGTTACTTTAGCTACACCCTTTGTAATATGACAATAGGTACAGTTGTTTTTTTTTTTCTTAAATGTTTTATTGTGAATTATGTGACAGTTTACATGGGAGAACATTAATTTTACATTCATTCTATCGTATATCATCTCATTGCCATGGTTACAATCCCCTCAGTCTGCTCAGGACCAGCCAAAGGCCCCTCCATGCAATCCTTCCCCCGTACCCCCCAGGTCTTCAGCACACAGTCGCTCTCCCTCTCTGGGTCTAAAGTCTTCAGCTGCTCTATCGCTCCACGTCATCATCTCTGGCTCCATTTCAGGCATCACTGCTTCTCTGGGTATGGTCCCGCTCTCTGCTCTTCTCCCTTGATGGTCCTAGGGACCTCCGCTCCTAGACTGAAAAGTTAATCACTCCTCTCCTTGCTGTAAAACGTCTATCTTTACATTTCCAACCCTCACAAACAGTCCTGATAACAATTATTCACTATTGTATCACAAGAGACCCGTCTGCATTTCATTGCATCTGCCCCGCCTAGTCAGATTGAATACCACTCACTGGAGATTCTACCTTCCTCCAGGCCCTCTGGATCTAGGTTCCCTCTTGAAAGCTTGTAAGCCAGTCACTTCTTGCCTTTGTAGCCCCCCACCCCCCATTTTGGGTAGCCAATGTCTTGTTTTTTGAAAGAGCAACTTGGTTTCTTGAAAGAACTTGTCTGTTTTGCTCCACTAGAAGAATAACAAGAGCTGCCAAATGGGCCAGAAGCCCCCCGAGACGAGCTGTGACCCGAGCTGCAGCTTGGTGTTCTTGTTGAGCCCATGAAGCTGGATGTGCCCACCAACCAGGTCTGGCTTCATGTGTGGAAACACTGACGTTGAGAGACACCAGTGAGCTCCGTGAGGATTGAGTCATGTTTTCTTTTGTTTACCTGGTACAGGTTAGCGTGCCCTCTGATGGCGCTCAGGAGTAGCAGTGAACAGCCTTTAGGATCCTAGGTTTGGGAAGGGAGGAAGAAGGGTGACTTTGAAGAACTCTCAGTGACCTGAGTTTCAAATTTAGTAATTCCTAGAACACCAAGCACAAAGATACGAATTTATTCTGAACTTAGAACCTGAAGGTTCTGTTTCCAGTGCAGCGGAACCTGAGCCATTCCTCTAACCTGACACCATTTCAGTGCAGTGGAACCTGAGCCATTCCCCGATCCCTACGCCATTTCATTATAGCTTACACCTGAGCTATTCCTCTACCATTTCCCCACCACCACCACACATACACCATTTTATTGTAGCTTACACCTGAGCCATTCCTCTATCCCTACACCGTTTCATTATAGGACCTGAGCCATTCTTCTATCCCTACGCCATTTCATTATAGCGTACACCTGAGCCATTCCTCTAACCCTACACCATTTCATTATAGTATACACCTGAGCCATTCCTTCTGCGCCCACATGACAACCTGGCGTAGAAAGAACAGCTCACGTTCTGTTGTAGGGGTGTGATAACATGACATGAAACAGCACATGTCCCCAAAGTCTAGAGTCCATGAGAATTTGAAAGTCAGTTCTGCATTTTGCCCCTTTGGATCAGGATTCTTCTAAAAAATCTTTGATCAAAGTGTTTAATGATGCATATCAGAGGGGTAACAAATGTTATATAAGCCTAGCTTACACGTGTCGACATGCCTACAGGTCAGAGACTCTATGCTAGTTTACTTTGTGAACCTTTTGCTGTGCTTCCTCTGGTCAGTTGCTGTTAAAGTGCTGTCGAGTTGGTTCCAACTCAGAGTGACCATGTATAGAGTTTCCAAGGAGCGAATGGTGGCTTTGAACCTCTGACCACGCTCCGGCCAGAGCTGTCATTACTCAGTTATATTGACACTTTGTATTGCGTGGTTTTGTCTGCACAATTCAAGTCTGCATTATTTTCATTGCTCCCAGTGATTTTACCATCATTGATTTTGTCAAATTTTCTGGTGTTTTAGTTACAATGCTGGTAGGTAGTATTTGTGAACTTGTGTCAATAACCTTTTTTTTTTTTTTTTTTGGAAGGAAATAGTAATACTGGACTGCAAGGTCAGTTTAAACCACAAGGACAGCGGTTCAAACTCACTAGCCTCTCCTTGAAACTCTATACAGAGTTGTTATGTGTCAGAATTGACTCGATGGCACTTAACAACATCAATACAGTTTTTTGAGAAAGTAATAATTAAAGGGAAAGAATGGAGGAATAATAATGTTTCCTCTGCTCAATTACTATTTGTAATTAATGCTGTAATTTAATGTGGAAAGATTTTACAAGTAATTTTTTTCATTCTTTAAAAAAATTTTTTTTTAAGTTTTTATTGTGAATTGAGTGATAGTTTACATGGGGGAACATCAGTTTCACCCTCATCATTTCATTGCAATGATTACAATCTCTGTGCATCATTTTTCCACAGTATTTGCTTCTATTCCCTCTGTTTTTTGTGGGGGCTGGCGGGGATGTACACAGAAACACTCAGGAATATATAATCGTTTAAACAGCCAAAGGACGCATCCTGCAAGCCTGTCTCCTTCCTGTCCACCAGCACCTGGCCGCCAGCACACAGCCTTTCTCTTTCCATGAGTCTAGAGTCCCCGGCTGCTCTCTCTCTCCATGTCCTCATCTCTGTCCATCTCTGGTGTCGCTGCTTCTCTGGATAGGGTCCTACATTCCACTTGTGCTCTTCTCCCTTGATGGTCCTAGGGTTCTTTATTCCTAGACTGCAAGATTAACTACTCCTCACTTTTTGTTACAAAACTTCTACCTTTACACTTGTGACAGTCGCAATTAGTCATAGTAACAATTACTACTGAATCATAAGAATCCTATCTCCATCTCCTTTCACCAGACCCATTTGGACAATATGAAAACTATTCAGTGGGGACTCTACCTTCCCCCAAACACTCTGAAACTTAACCCCCTACTTGTAAGCCAGTGACTTTGTGCCTTTATAGCTCCTCCCATTTTAGGTAGCCAATGTCTAAGTTGCCTGTTTCTTATCAACTCTATATACAGAGGGAATAGGATTGATCTTGGATGTGAAGACTCCTTTCCTCTCAGTTGGTATTTTGAGCTACTACATCCATTAAGTATAGGTCAAGTTCATAAAATTGTAGCAATTTACACTTGTTTCCTTTATCCAAAAAAAAATATTTTTTTAATCTTCTTCTTGTCGAGTTCTGATCATCAAGCTATCAAAGCTAGGTCGAATGGTTACTATCTGCAAGTTTGGGTGTTCTTGTGCGTCTCCCCTCACTTCATATCAGCTGGATGCTTCACTCTCAGCTTTAGCCCTCCATGGCTATGTCCTTGTCCATGGGCTCAGGCGTCCTCAGGTCTCACCACACTTTGGACCAACCCCTCTTCTCTCTCTCATCTCCAGGTCAACGGAAGTCTATGGAACATGATTGAACTCAGCCCATATCTTCATTGCTTCCTTTCCCCCTCTTCCATTCACCAGGAGACCAGTGGGGTTGCCAGAAAGCTTAAATGCCTGCTCATGTATTCTGTTTGAGTTTCAATCGGGTGGGGGTGGGGTTGTTCTGAAGGGACTTGATTTCTTGCCTTGATGGCTCCCCAGCAAACAACTTGCTTGTTCTTGTAGTAACCCATCAGACTGCCAATTTTGTTTTGGATTTAACCTACTGATCTTTCAAGTAACTTCTGTTGCTCTAGCTATTCCAGGCTAGTCTGCTTGTCCTTTCTAGTGGGACTATCCCACTTCAGAAGGTTCTGGATAGGACTCAGGATTCCACCTAAGGTCCTATACACTGCAATGGCTCCACAAGAAGCCTATTTCACTAGGCATGTTCTAGAACCCCTTTTAGGTATTCCAATCAGTTTTAGGCTGAAAATGGGCTTACAAGCTTTCTGTAATCATGTTTCTTGATATTTCTTTCTATCCCACTCAAGTGTCTATTTTACAGTAGTAGGCAAGGGAAACCAATATTCATAAGACGGTCAAGTATCTTAACATTATTTTCCCTCTTTTACCCATTTAGTCTATGTCTTGATCCCTGTATCAACAGAGCCCTGTTCTTCCAAGGTTGAGCATGTATCACTAGTTATTTCTGTTCCATTTAGCCCATGTGAACCTGCCTCAGTGTTCCCCTATCTACCTTGTTCTTCCATCCATCTCCCCTTTCTCCCCTTCTTGTGTATTGCCCTCCCTAACCCTACCCTGTGCTCTACCATCCCCTCACCCCACCCA